TGAGCCAAGATGTACAAGTTGACTCCCCTCCCGGGTCCCCGCTCCGGAGCCGTCCGGCTGCCCACCCTTCCTCCTCGCTCCCTCAAGGGCAAATGCGTGTCAGCCGGACACAGCCAGCCCTCGCTCCCAGACACGGCGACATCCTGCCATTTGATATTCGCACCGACAACCCCTTCATGTGTTTTTTTAAGCATCTCCTGCTGGGCCCCAGCCATAGCGCCTGCCTGCGGGGGTGTGAGCACATCTACAGGATTTTTCTAAGGGCAGCTGGCAGGGAGCAGGGAAATGCATGGACACGCGAGTGAGGTCCCATTTAAATTCCAGCCCTGATTCTTCTGTGGTTAAATCTACCCCCCCCCCCCCCCCCCCCGCCACGTCTGCTTCCTTGGTATCCGAGTTACAATGTGAGACGAACACTATGAATGAAGCATAATGCAGATTGCCCACGGGGGGGGGGGGGGGGGGGAGGACATCTCAGCGTGGCCTCTCACCCGCAAAGCAGATGTGGGGGACTCGAAATGCTCCTGACGGCTCCATCCCCGCCCCCCTCAAGAAAAGGTTGAAATCCACCGTGATTAAAGGTGCGCCGTTCATTTGCCTCAGCATGCGGGGGCTGAGAGATCGATTGAGCTCTTCGTTCCATTCCACTGCACCGACAGCTGCTCAGATGTCCAACGAGTCCTCCTGAGGCGTTAAGGGCACCGGTAGGGACCGAAGCCTCCCCTTCAGCCCCTCTTCATAGACGGGTATCGCCCACCGTGGCGGGAGCCAATGGACCCAGCGGCGATTTCTGCCTCCTTGTGCCCACGGGCGCTTTGGCATTTTCACTCCCTTCTCATCACGCTGCCCTGTCTGCTAACACCCCATCTGAACATCTACCTCAGGCACCGCAAGCATCTTCCAGGAAAGGCCATCAAACGTATCTCCGCTCTCCCTGAAAATGAATTTTTTTTAATGTTTTTAAAAAAGATGATCCAAGCCCGGACGGCGTGGCTCAGTGGTTGAGCATCAACCTATGAACCAGGAAGTCACGGTTGGTTCGATTGCCGGTCAGGGCACGCGCCCGGGGTGCGGGCTCGATCCCCAGTGTGGGGCGGGCAGGAGGCAGCCGATCCATGATTCTCTCTCATCATTGATGTTTTTTCTCTCTCTCTCCCTCTCCCTTCCTCTCTGAAATCAATAAAATAAATATATATTTTTTTAAAAAAAGAAGAAGAAGGTCCAAGGTGTGGGTCTATAATGAAAAATAAAGGAATATCTGGCCCTGGTAAACAAACAAATTTTCCTGGTACATTTCTAAAGCCACCACGCTGGACACCGCGATGAAACAAATGAAGCATATGAACGGAGCTTTGACCTCAATGGACTTACAATCTAGCCACAGACACCTGACAGGGGTACCGTCAGCCACCCAGGAAGCAAGCTGGGCGGGGGTGAGTCACTGCAAGGTATACACTTCGTCACCAAGACGGCCTCCTTGGCACCTGAGTCACACCCCAAGATCCCGAGGCTGCAGAACCCCCGGCGGGACTGAGACACGGTGTGACTGCGCCAGCCGTCGGGGTCAGAGCGACACGTGTCGAAGGGCCGCAGGTGAACCAAACAGAAGAGTCCGGGCCCTGATCACCTGGAGCTGCCCATCCAGCCCTGACCGGCCTTTTTCCTCCTCAGGCCGCAACCTACAACCCCTGCTGGAAGTCAAGGTTGGATTTTCTTATTTGTTGGTTGTTTTTTAAATATATTTCTATTGATTTCAGAGAGGAAGGGAAAGGGAGAGAGAGAGAGAGAGACATCCATGATGAGAGAGAATCACTGATCGGCTGCCTCCTGCACACCCCGACTGGGGATCGAGCCCCCAACCCGGGCATGTGCCCTTGACGGGAATCAAACCGTGACCTCCTGGTTCATAGGTCGAGGCTCAACCACTGAGCCACACCGGCGACGCTCAGGATCTGCTTTTAAGCACACGACACATAGCTCATCGCTCCAACAGTCTTCCTTGAAGATGTTTTATCGGAGATAAAAGAGTCCGCGTGTGGTACACACGTGCCTATGCGTTCATCCCTTTGCTCTACGTTTAAACCTGAGCACAGAGCTCCCTCTGACTTTTCAACTCTCGAAACCCAACAAGCGACAACAGGCGTGTGCGCTGCGGCCAGTTCTGTTGCATTTCACCAGATAAAAGCTTTCACTGACTAAGGAATTCGTTCGTCGCTTATTTATTTTATTTTTCTGTCCCCCACACTCTCCCCGACTCAGGAGTGTTCATTTGGTTCACGCACAGCCAAGTCACCCCTGATTGGTTACAAATCCGCTCCAGGCCACCGTGTGGGGAAAGGGTAGCTGATCCAGCAAAATCCAAGCGCAAGACCCAGACGCCTTCACCGCGGTAATGAGCCATCTGCAATGCAGCATCCTCCCCGGGAACCATCTCTCGTCCCATTTGTTTATGTTTTATTCATCACTCTCAGAATCCTCAGTGAAGTGACAGTGATGACATTCAGGAAGTCCTGTTTAAAAAGACACTGCCGGCTCTCCAGAGCTCAACTGTTCAGTGGGAACGCCGCTGCCCTGAATTGGTCCAAATTTGCTCACATCTCCTTTATTCTTAGACTAGGGGCCCGGTGCATGAAATTCGTGCACGGGTGGGGTCCCTAGGCCTGGCCGGCGATCAGGGCTGATCGGGGCCTTCTGGCTGCTGGCCGGGGCCTCCCTTCATTCCATGCCGCCCCCTGGTGGTCAGCACACGTCATAGTGAGGGATTGAATTCCCAGTCTCCTGGTCGAACTCCCGAAGGGACTTTGCATATTAGCCTTATATATATACTAGAGGCCCAGTGCACAAAATTCATGCAGGAGGCGGGGGGAGGGTGTGTGTCCCTCAGCCCTTCCTGCACCCTCTCCAATCTGGGACATCCCTCTCACAATTCAGGACCGCTGGCTCCTAACCACTCGCCTGACTGCCAGCCTGATCGCCCCCTAACTGCCCTCCCCTGTTGGCCTGATCGCTCCCTAACTGCTCCCCCCTGCCAGCCTGATCGCCCCTAACTGTCTCTGCCTCAGCCCCTGCTAGCGCGGCTTTGTCCGGAAGGACATCCGGAAGATGTCTGGTCTAATTAGCATATTACCCTTTTATTAGTATAGATAGATACATAGTGCATTCCCCATGCTGTGCCCAAAACTGTGTGGGGATCATAGGAGAGATTTCATCGTTTTCATTGTTTATCCAATTTTTAAAAGTCCATAGCAGGAACTCAGCTGAGATACACAATGCTCGTCCCCATGGTAACGTGAGCCACACTGCTCCATCTCGGGGGAGCGCGCTGCGGTTCCTCTGGACCACAGTTATACACCAAGGCTCCAATGGACAGGCTCTCATGACATATTTGACAAAAACAAGGCTTGGGGAAAAGTGAAAAAGAAAAAGCAGCTCTGAGTTGAGCCAACCTGGGGGTGTCCATCACTAAAAAGACACGGTAATGCCAGCCGGCGTGGCTCAGTGGTTGAGCGTCGACCTATGAACCAGGAGATCACAGTTTGATTCCCGATCAGGGCACATGCCCGGGTTGCAGGCTCGATTCCCAGTAGAGGGTGTGCAGAAGGCAACCGATCCATGACTCTCTCTCATCATGGATATTTCTCTCTCTCTCTCCCTGTCCCTTCCTCTCTGAAATCAATAAAAATATAGACATTTTTAAAAGGCACAGTAACAGTTACCTCCCTAACTCTGTGAAGAGACCTCCGTCTACACAGTTTAGGAAGCCTTTAAAACAAAATTTACTCATAGTAAAATGGCACACCTAGTTTCTGCTAGCCGATTTCAAATCTAGCTACGCAATACCCCCAGTCTTCTCTTCTTTCGAGATAAGCATACTTTGTAAATATAGTCACTATTAGTATGTGTGTCTTTCATTTTCCTAGGAAACAACATGTATGTAGGGACCATGATAGGCTATGTGTGACCTCTGCCCTCCAGAAACCTGGAGTTCCTAGGGAAAATGCATGGACACACCCATAAGCACACATACTTACACACACACACACACTCACACACACACCCCTTGTATGTCACCTCATTGAATCTATACCACGGATCAGAGATAGAAATTACTCTTCTCCTTTTACTGGTAAAGAAACAGGCTCCAGCATCGCATAGATTTTAAATCTGAGTTTGCTTCTTAGGATTCCATTCTGCGTGTTAGAAACGGAATCGTCATAAATGCTTCACTTTTTTTGTTTTTTAAGAAGCAAGACATTTTACTTTATCCATTTGGACGGAACTGGAGTCTGCTGAGACTATCCCTCGGGGAGCCGACCTCAAGGTGACCTTGACGACTCTCCACGAGGGGCCTGGGAAAAAGAACACGGAACGCTAACTCCTCCGCTGGGGGCCACTCTGGCCTCGCCTGCATTGCTCCTGGCGGGGGGCGGGGGGGGGAGGAGCTCTCAGAAAAGCTCTCGGACAGAAGAGCCACTCCCCGGCCTTTTCTTGGGTCTCTCGGAACCGGCCCGCATCCATCTGCGATTGTCAAGCCAGAAAACAGAGCCAGGGACCCAGAGGAAGACAACCGTCCAACAGGGCAAGTTCCCAAGCCGCGCGCCAAGGGAGCGCTTGCTCTCCATCACCACAAGCATCAGCAAGTCCGGGGAGAGGAGGGGGGTCGGACAGAGAAAGGAAGGATCGCCTGTGATCGCAGAACAAAAGCTGCCAAGTAACTCTCCCCGCTTGCCAAGGCTCCTGGCAAACACTCCTCCCGGGTGGGCGGTGGCGTGTGCGTG